TATCGAAGCAACAACTCCAAGCGCCCCATGACAGGGGTAATCGCTTCCCTGATCGAGCTCAGTCCAATCAGAATTCAGCAATACTTTGTAGTAGGAAAGAGTTCTTCTAGTTGAAGCCATCGGACCTGCTTTAGTATGTACAGAAGGATGCCAGACGTGGTAGGTCAGCACTGTAAGGAAAGTGTTCAGATACTGCAAGGTACACGAATTATACTTTAGATCATCATTCAGCCTACAACGGCAGTTGTATTTCCACTTCACCAACAGACAGCATCCAAATGAAAGTCTCCTTTATCTGCCATGTCGATATTGGCCCGCTTCGGCATCATCACTCGGCGTATAGTCTCACACCCACACAACTCTTTGATGAAGATCCCAAGGCCCGGAATGGACAAACCGGCATATATTAACTTGAATATGGCATGATATGGCACGGCACAACATGGGGCACTATGGGACAGTGGAACGCACAAACTACGGCTTTGTCACACTTCTCATCATCGAGAAGGGAATGGTCAAGCACAGCCATGTGTGACAAACCTCTCCTTTCGTGCATCGAGTCATGCAGCAGCGCGGAATTGTGTGAAGCTATCCCAGACTACATGTCGTTCGTTTCCGTATGCACGACCTGATAGTCGAGAACGAGGCGCAGATAATACCATATGTGGAGAAGAGAACAAAGAGACATGACGCACAATCAGGAATCATCCCCGTCTTTACGAGATGTGGATACACGGTTGGCTACATTCTTCACACTTTCCTTGGTGATCGCTGAAGACACTTCCAGTATCAGGAACAGCCGACGTCTGTTCCCTTGGCATCTACATGTGTTGTTGGCTTGTCGCGGGTATTCTCATGGTGTGCCTTCAGCGGCCCGCGCGCATGATTTGGCCCGCATATCCACATAGACATCACTCCGAACAAGCCGCCTTGACGAGGTGGATTGCTCAAAGCAACAAGGTTTCTTTCATCCGCCGCGTCAAACTCGGCAACGAGAGTTTGGCCCGTTGGTACAAGCGCGATATGTATATTTCCACTCACATAGGCCGCTGTCATGTACTATATGCATCTCCCTAATGGTGTTGAGATGTCCAAATCTGAGTGGTTGACAGTGTTCTGCAGTCTCTCTTTGTTCACCCTCAAACACAGCTAGTACCTGACCCTTTGGCCTTTGACAACCCCAGAACGACCCTACATCCCGCTGTCTACCTAATCTACAAAGGGATTAATGGTCTCCTCGCGGATCATGTGCAACATCCGCTAGCTCCACAAGGCGTCTAACGCCTCTGGCGTCTTAGCTTAAGCCAAGGGACAAGGAACAATGGCAGAACCCGGACCAACAGACACACGAAGAAAGAAATTTTCCTCAAGATGTGCCGAAGAACAAGTTGGTAGGTCACCAGGGAGATCGAAAGAACGTCTGGGGGCCCGCATTCATGAGAAAGACCATTTTCTGTGGCGTCATGACACAAGCCGGTATCTGTTGGTCGCAATTTAAATCGACAGCGGGAGAGGCATCAATAGAAGGGTGGGAGGGAGGTAGCTGTCACGTCCATGTGGCAGCTGCAAAAAACGGTGACTTCGGCAAAGCCGTCTTACTTGTTTGCTGAAACAAACCAATTACCAGCGTCATATTCTCTAGCCAGGTTCAGCTTCAGTGTTCTGAAGACTTTCGAGTAGTGGATGGTAGCATGGGTACGGGCTGTCATCTGAACGTCAGGCCTGCAGCTTTACTAGTGGGAACTCGGGGCGAGCTTTCCCGCTCATTGAACAAGCCATCAAACTTGCAAGGGAGCTTAGATCTCTGACGCATGCCTTCGATTACGGATGCAGGGGATCGTTCAACAGCAGTTTTCGAGCATTTCAAGAGATTTGGGCTACCAGATAGTAGCTCAACATGTTGTCCGACCTATACTGCTCCTCGATAAAAGTTTGTACGATGGCATTACCAAACTAAACTAGTGAGTGTTCACAGGCTGCAACGTGTGGCGGCCGGCCACTGCTCACGGCAGGCAATCGAGCATCAAGCAAACCGTACCCAACAACATAAAGAAACCGCAACGGCAGGTCCTTCTGACTGCGACCATGATGTTGACGACAGATTTGAGATGCATGATGGTGGTTCCCCTCAATGCAGAAGAACATGTCCGTAGAGTGTGGATGCACGATGACCCATTCTACAAAGGGCCCCATTGAAGCCAACATGCTCGCACAATCTCCTTCACAGTCACACCGCGTAGAATTTTATGAGGGCTCTCAGACCTCTATCGGGGCCAAATGCTGTTGGTCTGCCCAAAACTTCTTTGTGGACTGATGTGCCTTGACGTAAGTCAACCCTTGGACCAGCCTGCCAACAGAGCGTGGTGTTGCGGCACACAAGCGACCTGATTTGGGGCTCGGAGGTTATATCTCAGCTTAACAAGCTGATTGTCTCCTTTTCCAGAATTCCCCTCGCCTCTTTTCTGTGGTGTTTGCGGGGACAGAGGGCCGAGAAGAAAGAGGAGTGCCTGGCAGTACATTTTGCGCACCAACACACACCCCCTCCAAGCCTCACCCCCTGGCCGACCCAGAGCCAACTGACTAGGTAGCTAACCAACCATCCTATCTAAGCAACCTAGCTCCTGGTCTTTCAACACCTGGGAAGTGCAAACAGGACCAACAATCCATCTTCCTTGCTGTCGTTGTGAGGGTTATTTCGACTTTTACATTGTGGAATCTCCAAGACACCTGTACACATAGTGTCATGGACAGCAAACTGCCTCGCTCAGTCATAATCGTTTCCAAACCCTCGGGACCGTGTCACCAGCTATATAAGGGCCAAGGACATCTGCCTCAATCCAATACCCATACCTCAGATTCAACAGCACTTCAAAGCACCGTTCTACACTCAATATTCTATAACATCACTTTGAGGATCTCTTCCTTCCGAAGTCTCATTGTCCATCAACTTAAAACCCAATCTTCAGCCATATTTTGGTGCCAACTCTTCATAGTCTACCACGGCAGCAAGCCTCTTTCCGTCCGATACACAAAGCCACACCCGTCGGGACAAGTGTGACCAAATACTCACACAAACTTCTCGGATCACGGCTGTGAACTGCCTGTCATCCATTGAGTCAACTAGCTCCGGCTGTCAAACAAACCAATCCTCGCACAACGCCAGGTTGTTGTTATATATTGAAGCACCAAGACAGAGTCTTTGCTTCAACAACAGACGATCACTCTCTTGCATACTCTTTTCAAGTTCCGACTTAAAAGCATCAACAATCATGTGCTACTGGAGAACTACTCAGCACTGGACTCAGTGTGGCTGCACTGTTTCTAACCTTGATCCTCAGCCCGGCACCTCCTGCCGATGCATGAGCAACGTCACCGATCAGGGTTCGACGACGTGGGAGGGCTACTGTGGACGTCCTCAATGCCCCAACCCTCCTCGGGCGACCTAGTAGGTTGGTATCTGAGTTTCCCTTCGAAAGCGAGCCTCTACGCTGCAGTGCAGCTAACGAGTGTCACGTACAGCGATCCTCGATACCCTCGAAGGAAGGGAGAAAAGTTATGAGCAGATTCCAGGGTCTGCAAAAGCTTTGGCTACCCCGCGCAAGGTGGAAACTCATGGTGATCATGGAGGGGATTTCTTATATCTTTTTGGATTTGTCTCTGAATCCATAGATGGACCGTGGTATCCCTGGAGTTGTTTGGCAACAAACTCGGGCTCCCAGAACAGCACAGACGAGAGGGTGATACAGTCATTTCCGGAAATCAGAAGGCATCATTTTGGTTATTTTCTTCTTGTTCTTCTTGTTCTTCTTCTTCTTCTTCTACACTTATCTATCTACTTTCCTTGATAGTTTGAATTGCATCTTTACTTTATCTCTTGAACCGTTTTAACATGCATGGGTTAGATGCCCCTTGCTTGATTGAGTTGGAGAGGAGTGTGATTGGGGCGTGTGAATAATAAATGACCAGGATCCCAAGTATTCATTGCACTTAGGCGAGATTTCGAAGAACTGGGGTATCCTCGCTTATAGTCTTAACTTTTGCTTCTACTTGGTGGACAAATGCTGACCTGTCTTATTCTCGATCTTATTTCTCGCACGATATCATACATTTTATTCTTCTATCTTCCAATGGTTCTCGTCGCTATGGATCCCATGACGGAAGTCAAGTTGAAGTTGGTTTAAGTTTGCCCCCACTAACAGTCACACTGATCCTCTGGCCCAATCTGCGACCCCCTACGCCACGCTACGCCACGGCCATAACAGCGGCCCTAAATAAAGCCACAACCAGCCCATCAACGATGCGACAAAGGAATATGTTTCATTATATTTAATTCTACAGCCTCATTGTGGGTTCTTGGGAGAAGAAAACGCCTCGTGGGCGTCTACAAGGAGGTTTGATGTCATGGCCTCTCATGGTCTAAGCAATGGATCTATACGGAAAGGAATGTCCGTGTAAGTCAGCCTCTTGTATAGATGCTACCAACGGCAATGCTAAGCCGTGCATCAGGGACCCTTTGATGTAGTCCAATTGGGCATGATCCTTCTGTTCCTTCTAGTAGCAATTAAGGTAAGGCAGAGTTCAGGGAGATCTCTCACTGGGAGAATCTGTCACCACGTTGACGTTTAAGCGCCCAATGTCTATCTGCATGTACTAGTCTCAGCCCTCTGGCCTAGTGCAAGTGCAAGCTGAGTCCGATTCATGTAGATTTTAGTTAGTAGTTAGTCGATAGTTATTCAGTCGGTGAGCATTGAACTATTCCTTTCTTAACTCTTTCTCCGTTGGGTATTAGTATAGAGATGGCGTCTTCTCTTTTTCACTTCCGTCGGACCAAGCTACTTGAGCGATTCGATTAATTATTGAGCACCCCTGGCCCTGTTGGTGTTGGGTTGGGTGGAGTTGAGACGAGCAGCTGTGCGTGCAGACGTCACTCATCATGTGACTTGGTTTCGTCGTATCTCATTGCTGGGGTGAGCGAGTCTTAATAAAACCAACTCATGGAACATACGGCACTCAATTCAATTGCAACACATGGTGATTTTCTGATAATTGGCAATTTCTATCAGCTTCTCTACCCAAGTCTCTTCCCAGTGGATTTGACGACACAACGGCCTAATGCAGGCCGTGATACCTGCAGTGTTTTACGCTCCTAGTGAAGGAACTTATCCTTGTCAATTGCAACAGGCCGCCTCTACTACCCTTCAGACTCTGGCAATCAGCAACCGAAACTTTTCTCATCTTTGCTTCTATTGTCGGTAGTCGTGCAATGTCAGTACAACTGCCAAAACTCTGTACACCCCGAAAATCGTCACACAGCAACACCCGCTTGACTCAAAAGAATAAAAAAAACTCTCCGGCCCGTATGATACAAACAGTCAACAACTTCAGGAGATGTAACCTCCACATCTCGCTTGTAGTAAATGCCGTTGTCCTCCCGTTCCCCTTCGCGGCCCGTATCATACGGGGCGTGACGTGCCGGCCTACGACATGACCACCTCCATCTGTAACTATCCCCGTTCTCATCACATTGGCTTATGCGGCCTATTGCTGAGAAGTCCAGAGCAGAATTCACATGTAATTAAATTATGATGCAGTCCAACAACACTGGTGAACTCCTCTTGCACCGTTTCGATGGTAAGTTTTGCTCTGCTTCGGTTGAAGAGTAGAACCACACTCTCTCTTTCCAGGCCACTGATTCACTGACCATTTGGACACTGGCGCTAAAGCTGTACTGGCCTGGATATTTCAAACTCTGGCTGTGAATGAGAGTTATATGTGATTTGGCTGTGAACTTGACACGTTGATAGAGCACTCAGATAGAATATATAGAAATGAGATAAACCAGGAAGCAAGCGTCATATCTACAAGAGGATTAATTCCCCTCCATTCTTCCTAATACTAAATCATAGCTCTCCAGATCTAATTTCCTCAACACCAGAATTCATATCGGGGTACAATTTTCTTTCCCTTCTATCATCACCACCTAACATCAGCTCTCTAAACCTGATTTACCACGCCATTTCAGCTTGCGCATACGATTTTAAAACAGACTCAAGTTCTGGTAAGTATTAGCTATATAACGATATATTTTTTCTTTTATTTGCAATTATTCCAGATCATAAGGGGTGCAGGTTTGTGTTCCGCCTCTGGATCTGCAACCCCTCCTATTAACCATCACCACATCCCTTCTTCATACCTTATCGCTTACCTCCCTCTTGTCTTCCGACATTAAATTCCCTTGCTCATATATACTAACCACCGAATAGCATCTGTAAAGATGGTAGACATCAAGAGAGAACAGTCCGATCCCGACCCCTGCTCTCTGAGTATGGAAGAGTTTGAGGACAAAATCAACATCTGCGACGACGTATACATGGCCCGATATCGGGTCCTGAGTGTCCTTACCAACTACGAAAGGATGCGTCCCAACATGCCCAAGACGATCCAGCTGATGGTCACCGACTTTCTCAAGCATGAGAAATGGGTGGACAGCCCCTCCAGCCCTAGCCAATCCCGCCTATTCAAGAACCTAATAGGCCGCGGGCGTCGAAAAGTGCTGAACTTCTCAATGTGGTTGGTTGTGGCGGCTATTTGGCCACGCAACAAGCGCGTCCTTGAAGTCGCGGGCGATATGTCAACCCTTTGGGGGCAGAGGTTCCCTAAAACACGACCCTTCTTCCCTGCAGGCATCCCAGAGGACGAGGCACACATCAAGTATGAAGGAAATGTTGCGCGGGAGGAAGAATGTCCCGTCTCGGATGCGGACAACAAAAATTCCAAAGACAAGAACAAGACGAACAAAGAGGACAATGGAGATGGCAATGAAGACCATCGCTCCAAGCGCAAGTCTGACTCAAGTGATATCTTCAACAAGGCCACCAAAAAACAAAAGATTGACCGAACTACCGTTTCGTCCAACAATGGCATCCCAGAGCCTTCCAGTTTGCAAAAGGCCTTAGGGGTTGAGAACGCAGAACAAGAAAGACTGGTTCATCTAAGAAAGACAATGAAGGAAAAGGACGAAGTAATCAAACAAGAAGACGCGCAGATCGCGAGTATGTACACCCGAACTCAGTATACGTTCAAAGAATTCATGGAGAGCTTCAATGTCGCGGATTCCTTCATCGAGAAGGTCGCCGAAGAAAAGAACAGTCGAGACAAAGAAATCAGGAAGCTGTCCGATCGTAACAGAACGATTGAGGCAAAACTCAAAGACGCGTCCTGCAAAGAGCACGAGCGGCAGGCGTATATTCAGCAACTGGAAGATCAGATCAAAGAGATGCAAAAGCCGCGACAGAGTAAACCATCATACCTCGCCATGATGATCAGTTCCTTCGAGAACAGTCACGACACCACGATGGACGAAATTAAGGTCGAGTTGAAGGCTGGACGGGAGGCTGTTGCTACTCTGACCGAAAAGTTTTCTAAGCTGGAGGAACGTCTTGACAAATGCAACTAAAAACACCAAACATGGTAGACACACCGACTCCCCTTTGACATTGTTTTGGGATTCTCATGGTTATGCTCCTTATATGGAGGCTACGGTATTGCATGGCGTTTTTATCATCCGGCATAAGGATATGATGCGAAATAGAGGTTAGTTGTATTCTAGATACCAATGTAACATATATGCGCTACACGTTCTCCTATTTGTTCTTCTGTTCATTTGATCTCTATCATCAACCTCAATGTACTTGCATAACCAACAGAGGAGTTGGTTCGGTTTTTTTAGCAACGATAGGATATTTCCCCAGCAATCTCGATGAAGGATGGATTGCTAGCAGATCATATATACCCATCCACATACCAAATTTATGCTGCTTGCTTGATCGTTTGCCTTTCAGGACTCCATACAGTCTTTATTGGCTGGGGATGGGGGCTAGAATTGACCTTTTAATAACTGATGTTGAATTGACGCATGTATTCGACTGTTATCATTAGCTCAGGCCCAAGTTAAACTTGCGCCTAAGGTTAAGCATAGATTGATTATACAACATACCATGCTAACAAGGGATGAGTATGTAATTCACATTTGTCATAATCCTAGGGATTGGCTTGTGGGTGGTACTTGGTATACTCTGCTGCTAGCGAATTTATATATTTGAAATGTCAATATCCTCATGTATTCACATTGGAGTACAAGGGGTGATCCTAGGGAAGTCAGTTTCCCAATACTTGGGCGTGTCGTTGGCGATCTTGCCAACGCTTGGGCTCTTTGGCCATGCAGCTGCGACTACAGCCCACATAGAGAACGACAATAGTTTGTGAGCCCGTCCGTTGCCCTTAAGATATTTTTGCAACCTACGCTGGCTTATATTGGTCATATTTGTTGACATATTCCTTTGTCTTCAGTTACGCGGCGATGTCTAGCCAAACCTTAGGCGGCATGTCGCTTCGGATGGTGTTGATGACACTGATCACTGGTTCAACATGCATGCTGACTAGGGTCTCATCTTTGACGGCGTTCATGATCCCTTTCATGTGACTCGTGAGAAGCATTGGGGTTTGGGTCTTGGTGCCATCGCTGAGAGCTGTTTGCTATTGTTAATGTCGTGATCGGGAGTGAAACTAATACTAGTTAAGGACAGATCTTGCAGAGTTGAGTCCGTTAGAATACTTGTGTAGGTTTTAAATTTAATGTTAAATGTATAGAGACTTATAGCAAAGGAGTGAGAGTGAAAGAATGGGTTGAAAGGATGAGAGTGTGGAGCTAGTGATCAGGGGGTAATGATGTCCAGATAATGAATCTCAAGGAGCATACCGGAGCTTCAAAAGTTGCCACCAACTGAAAGATCTCATAGCACCATATAGCTAAAGCTTATTACAATATGTTTTGTGCTATGTTATAGCGATGACAGGGCGTGGCCGTGTTGTTGTTGCGACCTGTGTCGTCTTGAATAGGGGTTGTTGATGATCAAGGAAGAAAGTGAATCACATGGGATAGTGCTAAGAACTAGAGTAACACTATCCCGATAATTGTTCTGAGTGTTATTAATTAATTCCAAGATGTTCTTCAGGGCTTGTCTCTATATCTCTAAACTGTATATATGAATTAACAGTATACAATTGCTGACTGGATCGGTCAGATCATACAACTTGATCCGCCCAGAGGGGCTCAGAATACAAATTTCACATCCAGAATTACATACAACTCTCACTTTCGTCTGGAGGTTTTATTCTGGTCGTTGGACTCTACTGAAGCCCCACTTATTGGTCGCAGGGATATCTTGCTTAACCGCCACTGGCTATTCAATCTGAACCTCGCAACATAACCCAATTCAAACAACATGTTTCGCAAGAAGGCCGAGGCTTCACTGAAACCAGAAAAATTACAATATGCGCATATAGGGTCTGGATAATAGCATGTCGCAGTCACTGGGCAAACCAGACATATCTCCTCCAGACCAGTGTCAAGAGTCGTCATCATACGTACCGCCATTATGACAACTTCCGAGGTCAACAGCCTCAACCTCCTTGACCTCCCTGTGGATATTCTCAGCATCGTTCTGAAGCCACTTGTTACATCTTTTACGCCCATCTGTCTCTGCCCATGCACCCGATCACCCATCAACCCGCTACCCATTCTCCTCTCTCACCCAGCGCTACACACCATCGCCACTCCGCTGCTGTACGCAGGAAACGAATTCTTACTGGACGCATCCGGACCCCATGCACAACACATCCGCCGAGAATTACAGAGCGCCCCGCCCGGAGCCGACGACAGACTTCACGGCCGAGCTACGCTGCTCACGACACGAGATGCTTTACGCAGAATAGCAAGACTGGAAGTACGAATTGACCGCTTAAGAGGGTGGATAGGAACAGATATTATACCGCTGCTCACAGAGCTAGCTGTGCAAGGAAGAATGGATTACCTCACAGTCTGGGTTCGCACCCCCATCGAGCCGAGGACTCCGGTCCATTTCCGCCCTGCCAAGCCGGGAAAGGATCTGGGCATGTTTGCACGACCACCACTGGAGGGCTTACTGCGTGTTCTGGCAGATCCATACCTGCTGTCAGCGCGGTTATGGGTAGACGCGCGGCATGCGAAGACGTGGTGCCGGTTCCATGCCGGAGGATGCGGAGCAGAGAGTGGAGACCCGGGACGGGAGCGGGAGAGGGTGGAGATTGATTGGCGGGAGATAATCCGGGTGGTAGATCCGGAAAGAAAGGAGATTACGGTGATAGGAACTGAGAAGAAGTGGTGAATTTCACAGGCAAGGAAACTGAGTATGATCTTTCAGCTTTTGAGGATTGTGGCACATGAAATGAAAGGTGAGGGTGTGTGTTGTACGTGGCGGATTATGGACGGTCAGAGGCGGCACAGAAGCCGAGATGTGCAGTGGCTTTGTATGAAGATGAAGAAGAGGGTGTACGAGATGGTTGCTCCTAAGAATTGATCAACATGTGAAGGTTTCTCAGATAGATCATCATACTGAAGGATCTACGGGGTGCAAGAAGAGGAAAGAGATGCATTTGCTTCGTTTTAGCTCTCAGCAAGCTATCAATTTCATCAACTGGGGCTGGAAAGACTAATAAACTTAGGCTTAAATTGTGTAAATAACAGCGCAATATGCTTGGACCTCAGGTCAACTAGAGTAAAAGTGATCAACATGAGCATCTCGTGTGCCGTCTTGGCGATGCTGTTTAACCTTTCTCTTGGTGTAGCCTCGCTATAAACGCAATCTTATTCATACCTCATGTTTCAAATGCGCCTCCGTACACAAGCACAGTCTCTGAAAAAGTCCGTTCCTAACCAACCATAGCAACAATTCTCTACACGCCTCGATATCCCCGTCGGAACACCGAGGGATCACCGTCTCTCCCGACAGCAGCAGGTCACGCGTAACGAGCTTTAAATGAGGAATGACGTATTTCCATGTCTCATGATTTCCTACCAATTGACTTTCCCACGCTCCAAGGTGACAAGCCGCTTCCCCGCAATTGGTCCATGCGTTGAGGATGGAAGTCTGGGTCCTTTTTTATCACCACCCACGCTTCGTGGTGTTTTATGGGATAATATGCTGACACATTTATGGTTTCCAGTTCGGATACTTTTAGAAGAAACACCCATCTTTTATTTGCCCTTTCTTATCTCTGACGCAAGCAATGCTGTGTAAGCGCTTGACTAAAAGCCGGCCATACTCTCCGCCCCCATGATCGGCAATATAATTAATGCTGTACACTTTTATAAAACAGTGGGATTTTGACAGGAAATACCGACAAAATAAATAAACAAGAAAAAAGTGAAAAATTCAGTGGACATCATGCAGGTTTCTCGGTCACCTCCCGAAACTGCTACCCCGGGCCCTGAGGTCTTCCGAGAGCCTGGACAAAACAACGACAATCTGATTGGATCGTGTATAAACAGATCATGGTCAACAATCTCTCTGTCGGATATAGCAAGTCTGCGCGGGCGGCAGGCTCCGGCTATTCATGGCACGTTCTTTTTTTCTTCTTTTTGGGCCGTTTCTATGTAATGCAATGCAAGACGCGGCGCGGTAATGCTACGCTATCTAGACTATCTTTTCTGTGCATTTGCACATGATCGGTCTAGAATCAATGAAATGCCGGTAATTTCTGAAGGGCTGAGTTTATGGGTGTGCAGACATTGCATGTGTGTGTATGTATGAGCAAACCTCTACGGACAGGAAGTGAAAAGACAACTCATTGATTCACGTCAATTGCCCACTCTTGCTATCTATGTCAAATAATAAGACCGAAGATCAATGATTGACTGAAAGAGACCCGTGTCACAATTGCGCTAACTGATAGGACAGCCTTACAAATCTGTCAATCTCACCTTGGCTTACCTTACCGCCCATACCGCACCGCATTTCTGTCCATGACACACGGTCAATGCCGAATTATGATTATGGATGGATAGATATCTGATCATCGTCACTCAGGGACCCTTCTGGTTGCAGAATCGACACTCTTTGCTTTATCCGGAAAGGACTGGAATCATGATTTGCCGCTATCAATAGTGCTACTGTAGGCCAAGATGTTCCAACTCCCAGGGAACAGAGACAGTGAAGTCCTCCCCCCTTTCAATTCCACTCTCTTTTTTCTTTCTTTCTCAGTGATGGATAGATAACGAAAGAAGAGATAATAATAAGGAAATGCAAAGCAGCATAAACCTCGCTTCATTTTTCAGCCTTTCAAGACTCTTGCTTTCACAGGATCCAGACCAAAGCCGCCCACCTCAATCCTAATCCCGTTTGATTCTCATGTTCCATTCAACCGAAGCTGAAGATGCCCACCCTCCATCTTTTCACGGTTGGGGTGACCTTTTTTTTCTTTCACCTTTTGCTTTTTTTTTTCCGATTCGTTTTCTTTTTAGCCTTGTTTTTTATTTTTGATCCAAAATTGTCAATCAAAGTGGTATCCCGTAATTTTTGGTGGTTGTGTCATTCATAAAAATCGAAATGAATAAAAATCATCGCTTGCGCTGTCATAATTTCACACCTTCTCACAAAAGCACGCCATTCACAAAGTTACCGTGACTTAGTGAAGGATAACATCATGAAAGTCGGTCTTGTGCTCATCGGCATGCTCGCCGTAGTGAACAGGTCCAAGCTTGAGGATGCGGTAGCTGTTGGAGCTTGAGCTTGAGCTGGAGGACTCAGTCGAGGCTCGTCGAGGAGGAGAGGGACGAGTGTGAGAGCGGACAGCGGGCTTCTGAGGGTATGAGGGAGAAGTGGCCGGGGCGAGGGAGAGGAAAGAAGACTTGGGAGCCGGGGTGAGAGGGAGGAACTTCTGAGGAGGAAGAGCAGACATTGTGAATGTTGTAGAAGAGAGTTGAACTGTATAGAAAGTTGTTGCTGTTGTTGATAGATGTAGCTGAGGTGGGCGAGACAGCTAGATCGTCGTACTTGAAAGGAAGATAGAAGCGAGGCTTGTTGTTTTAGTTAAAGAACAGAAAGGGAATTCTCATTTAGAGCGAGGGAACCGTCCTCTTTATGCTTTCACGATCCCATGGAAACTCGCGGCCTTGATCTGCCGTCTCATCTCAATGATGTGCTACTCCATAGTCCATACGTACTCCGTGCCTAGTCTTGATACCAACCTACAGACATATCATCCACCCCCCCTGGCGTACGCCCCCCCCCCCGAGCTCCGTATCGCCGACTGCACCCAAACTCCGCTGTCTGAACTAAAAACATGGAGGTAAAAGAAGATGCTGTTGGAGGAGAGTAGTGCGAAACTAGGTCCCGCTATCCCGCTCCCACCCTCTTGTTCTTTCTCTCCTGTTCCTTTGTCACTGTCAACTGCTAAGCTAGCACATCATCGTCATACGGTTGTCGCGTCGCGTTACAAATGTCGAGACATTGATTGACATGATAAATCTTTGCCACTGACATTGACTTCATGTCACACCCACAGACAGACTCACACACATAAACAAACACCCCCGGATCATACGGGCCTGACGGACCTGACCGCACCGGGTGCCCACCCGGTCCTCTTCCCTCCATGATTGGTCCCCCGGTCTCAAAGGCTTGACAAAAAAGTGTCGACCAACTTCTGTTCCACATAATCTTTTCCATTTTATCAACGATTGCCGCGTCTCGTCTTGCTTCGTGTATGACTTGTTATACAAGACCCTCTTCTATTCGCTCGCCAACCAGTTTCGCTTCCAGAAACCCCGAAACTGAGACGCGAGTGTGCGTTGCACGTGGGGGTATGTATCTCTTGATACGGACCGGTCTCTGATCTTCATCTTGCATTTGTTGCCTTGGTCTTGGCAGCTTTCAATCTCGCAGGCAGTACACGTCTCGGGTTTGAGTCCTGTTCACTCGTTCCACAACCCCCACCATTATGCCTAGGTCAAGTGTCACGGAGCTTGGTCTCTTATTAAGGCGAAGTAAAGAGTTGGGCTTTCTGGGCAATCCTCTCAGATTATAATAATCTCACGGTCTACCCGGGTAGGTTTTGGGATGCTCATCTTAAGTTCTCTACTGCTATACTGTAACCTTGCCTTCCTCGTACTAGCATTCACATTTCTCTAACTGGGTGTTGACCCAGTCATTCACCAGATGCCATTGCTGTTCTAACTTGAGGAGATCTATTTTAGGAATTAGGATGAGTTTAGGCATAGGTTTATAAATACTCAAGAATCAATGAGACACATGTTGCTATTTGTAGAACAGCCTCTGACTCTTCGCTAAAGTTTCAGAAAACTGCCCAACATTTCATCATTCGCACATCTTTTCGGCAAGCTGAAGTCATATATATATTAATGATATCTTATATAAGCAAGCCAAGTAACGTCTATCTATACATGTAGCATACAAAGACCTGTCCTTTCAAAGTCTGGTCAATCTCCTCAGGGCTCACCAGGGTTTCATCTATTGGCCCATGACCCCTATACTCCTCAAGAAATGCAAACACATCTACCGTTTCATAGAGGTAATCAGGTAGGTGATAATAAAGCATGTACTAGTGCATTCTACTAGTAAGATCTATCATTTACCACCATATGATTACCTAAATAACATAAAAGCAATGCAACGCCTGTGTTGCTAGCATCATTCTCGAAGCTACTAATTCCAAGTTGTTTTCTTTTTTGCTGTTACCCAGATAGGAAAGCACACCCACCACCATTTTGCCTACACAATTTACCGTTCGTTCGACGGCGAGTTGGGAGAGCTATTCTTGGTTGGTAACTGGTCATTAAATATTATCAAGGACCCAAACTCACTATTGATTTCCAGACGTTCCTGGACCCGGCGTGCGAGGAGAGAAAGCAGGCGACGTCGGGGAGTAGCTTGGGCTGGTTGGCGACTGCTGTGCACCAGGGCTCCTCTGGAAGCTTGGGCTTGTTGGGGAATAAGCCTCAGGAGACGTCGGAGACCATGAAGGGGACGCGGGAGAGTAAGAAGGCGAGGTTGGTCCAGCCCCGTGAATGTTGGGCGATGTTGGGCTGTAGTTGGGGCTCGCCGGTGAGTAACTGGGAGAGGTGGGAGAGTTGAACTGTGCCGGCGATGTCGGCGAGTAGTGTCTAGGAGACGAAGGTGACGTGGGTGAGTAGCTGGGCGACGTCGGGCTGTAGTTGGGGCTTGTAGGGCTTGTCGGACGCAACATCGGCGAGGTGGGAGAGAATGATGGTGATGATGGGCTGAAAGACGGCGATGTTGGTCCATAGCGGCCCATACCACCACCATCGATGAGAGGTGATGTGGGAGAGTATCCCATATTAGGTGATGATGGCGAGTAACTGAATGGCGATGTTGGCGATGTACTACTGAAGGGACTTGCCGCTCCGCGGTTGTAGGGACTAGCACCACCAAAACCATGATCACCACCGACAGTAGTGAAGCCACCAGGTGTTTCCGATCCAGCGCCCTGGATGGGAGAGAAGTTTCCAGCGGCAGGAGAGCTGAGGCTGAGGTAACCCGAATCAGCCATGGGGGAGCCAGTGTCGTAGGGGGTAGCAGCTCCTTCGACATCTCCGCCCTTGGTGGGCATACCAGCCATCAAGCCCATACGAGAGTTGTCAGAAATAACAGTCTCGAGCATCTTGGGATCCAGCAGAACATCAAAGTTACCGGTACCCATGGGCGCCATCTGACCAAGCATGACGTTCTCGGAGATACCACGGCAATCATCCAGTTCACCT